CAGATTCAGCCGGTAGTGCACCATTCTACCAGATTCCAACAGTGGTGGCCAGAATCTGGTAAATGTGGATTACTGGGGTGTTTTTGTAATTTTTTAAAAAATATTTAGTGGTATTTAATTAAATTAACAAATTTAAGGGGTTTAAAAAAAGTCGAATAATATTGAGAGTAATATTCCCAAAAACTCTGATTTTTGGGTATTTTACTGTTTAACATTTTTAGAAATATTAAAAGTAGTATTCCCAAGATGCAACCAAATCGAAGCCTATTCTTCTGATGGTTTCCACTCCAGTGTAGTATAGGAGAATTTTTTTAATATGGGGACGTCTGCTGGGATGGCTGTTTGGGCTCCAATGGGTGTTGGTTCGAGGTGGCGGTGGGCTATGTCGTGTGTGCTTTACTAGACAATCAAAATTCAAAGCCCACGGCACGGCCCATGGCCTCGTGAGCTGTGTCATATCGTACCTTTGTGGGGCGATCCATGTGTTGTGTAGGTTGTTCTTAACAAATTTTAAATTTTAAATTTTTTTAAATTCATGGGCCCTGTCTTATCAATCCACATGTCAAATCCTAAGCTTACCAGTTGCCACACAGCCAACATGGCCCAGGGGCCATGGCAAAAAATTTGTGGGCCGTGCCAGTGCTGGATGGTTACGGGTGTTTGTGCTCGGTTTGGGTTTGCTGGGTGGGCTTGTTTAGTTCATGGGGTTTGGGCCTACAGTTTCTTCGTTAAGGTTTACAAAATGGTGGACTGGGTTTTTAGGGGGTGGATTGGGTTCTTTTTGGGCTGAAGGCAGGAGGGGAGCTTGTGGGCTGGTGCAAAGGAAGAGCCTGGATTAAATCTTCGGGCTTCCACATCATAAGCGGCCCAGCTGCGAGTTGGGCAGGGAGAATTTCGGGCTGCCGCTGTCTTCGGATTTGTGTGGACTGGGCTGGTGAGAGGATTTTTGGCCCTGGTTTTTCTTTCTCAGTTGTACAGCTTATTGTTAGGCTGGACGAGGCCTGGTTTTTTATAGGCCTGGCGTCGCGTTCAGCAAAAAGGGTTATCCTTCTTGGGGCCTGCTGACCTTATTGTTGTTTGTTTTTGTAAGTCTTGTTTATTAAGGCCTTTTCCTCTTTGAATTTTTTTGGGCTTTTTTGGGCTCTTTTTGTAAAGGATAGTATATCATTTTGTTCTTCCTAGGCCTTGTTTAGGCTTCCTTGGGGTTGTCCAAGGGTGTTGGCTTGTGAGGGGATTCTCGGGCTGTATTTTTTTTATTCTTATCTATACAATGAAAAAAAAAAAAAAAACGTGAAGGTAAAATAATCTGTGGTAGGAATGTCATGAGCTGCATTATATAACGAAGTAAATAGTTAACCATTAAGGTTTGATACGTCTTGTTCTTGAAACCTAAATTTTTGTAGGAAAATAGATATTTGATAAGTACCAAACAAAAGTTTAGCCTCTTAACTTTTGTGGGTTTAGTCCAATTAGGTTCTGGTTTGGTTTCGTGAACCATACTAACTTTTTGAGGTTCGTGCAAACTAATACAGACACTTTGATTATTAAAAAAAAAAATTAGAAATTAGTTACAATACTCTGAGTTTTTTAAACCATGTGCGCCGAGATTGTTTTTGGATATTGGGTTTGCTCAATTCCTCACAAATGGCATAAATTGTCAACAACAAACTTTTTCATATATAATAGGTAGAATCAATACAATGTTGCTCTCTAATGCATTATTTTGAAAGGTTACGGGCATTTTTTAACATTAACCTTATGAACAATATTACATTTACGACTTAATCTCACAAACTCTTTATCACAATCCTGATGTGACAGTTTGTAATTGATTAGTTCGTAAATAGGTCTCATCTACTCGCTATAGATCCTATCTGTTCAATTACAAACTGTTATATCAGGATTATGAGAGAAAAATTTAAGATTTGGTTGTAAGCCCATCTTTACAGTAACCATAAATATTGGCTGACAAAAACATTTTTCATTTTCATGCTAACTTTGCAGCTGCAGGATATACTGAAAGTTTCAGAATGGAGTCTTTCATCTTGATCAACTCAAAGATACCGATATCTCCTTGCTTCAAATTCTCCTCTCTTGAAAATTTAACCCATCCCTCTGTTAAACAAAAGCCTCCACGAGTCGACTTATGGATTTTAACACACAACACTCTTCCATCAGGAACCTGTAGATTAATAGTTCTGGAATTTCTACATAAATACTTGTTCGCAAATTTCACTGGCACACTCTGCAGATGCCAAAAAAGAATGGCAACTTAGAAGATATGAATGTCATCAATATGAGAAGATTCATAACCACATTTTATCTACAAACTCACCACACGGCGTTCAGTTGTGCTATGAGATCGCAAAAACACCATGAATGAAGGATTTCTTGGCTTCAACAATCTGACGATGTGGATTGCTCTCTGTCTCTCTTTTTTTGAGACAAATCTGCATTTAGTAGGAATGTAGATTCCCATTTCTTCAAGCAAAGCTAAAAAATTATATTTATTCTCATAATCTGATTCATTTATCTCTGCCTTTTCAACCGTTTTAGACCTGCTTTCAGGCTTCGATTTTGAGTTGTCCGCATTGCATCGTGGCTTAGACTTCACTGCACTATATGGGTAGTGAATCTCGCAAGCAGTAGAATCAAAAATAAGAACCTGGAAAGTTGAGTTCTTCAGATATTTGAAAACCAAGAAGTATCCAACAGAGATTGAATGATATTGAACAAAGTCGTGCCAACCATCCCGAAACCAAATTTTGGTCCCATCTTTGGTCAATCCGATTAACCAAACTCGACCATTGGGAACTTCCAGCGTTGCGATATCAGAAAGTTCGTTCCCAAACCTCTTCACGAACATTTGCGGAATCTCCTGCGATCATACAAAAAGGGTCAGCTGATCTATTTAATATACACAACTGAACCATTTATAAGCACACAGATAGGCAAACTGATCGACATAGACAATAATCCCTACAGCTTACCAGCTTCTTCTCTTCCAGGGAAGAGGGAAGGATAACCTTGAAGAAATGTGACGATTTCTCCATAAAAGAATTTGATGTAACGGGTTCGCCTTTCCTTCTAGTGCAAGCCATTGTTTAGTTGCCAGAGATGAAGCTATGGTGGTGGTTGATAATGATACATAGGTTCAGGCTTAAGTATTTATATGTGCTGCATAAACTTTTGTTTCTGGCTGATCGTTTCATATACCCTTCAGAAGTTGCACTATTTTTGAGAGATGTTTAGAGTTCCCATGAATGATAATGCAACTCTCATTTCCAACTTTCCAGGCACCAACTCTCACTGTGTTTAGACTTCCAATGTTTGAATCAAAGCTCATATTGATATATGGAGTAAAAGTAATAAAGAGCTTTAAATGAAAATCAAATTCCCCTCCGCAACAAAATAAAATCTTAGGCTCATGGGTTATTTCTGTCGTTTCTCTCATGTCTGATAGGTACTGATTTGATCTTTCGATTTTAAAAGCATCTAATTAATAGATTAATGCTGGAGATTAAATAACTCTAATCATTTGTTTGAGACAAACAATAGCTGTTGCATTTTCTACCGCAACGCCCTCCATTACAAAAATTTGGAACCTTTTAAGTACTGGATCACTTTAAAACAAATATTACAAAAGAAAGAGTAAACGACTTTTTCCCACCAAGGTTAATATTCAGTTTTTACCCAAAGCCGATTTCAATGGCAAAAACCCCTAAACCCTAAACTACCATTTTAACCTCTGGTCTCCTCTCTATAAAACCTTTCTCACTTTGGCACCTGATTTTTTACCAATTTTCGGCCACCGCAAAACTAAGGTTTCTTATTCTTAGCTGATTTCCGGCTTATTTCGATAATGAATATTTAATCGGTTACCACCATTTGATCTACCCTACAAAAATCCTCTTACCCTGGCTCCTAGTAACTCGCCGAACGCAGCTAAGAAAGTGAAATATATTTTGGGTATTAACATAATATAAACTTTGGGTGGGAAAGTGGTATTTAAACTTTTTGCGTGGGAAAGTGTCATTAACACAGACCTTGGCTGGGAAAAAGTCGTTTACTCCAAAAGAAATTGGAAACTGGCAAGTGTTTGTGCTGGGAAAATGAGGAGAGTACCAAGACAGGTTCATGGACCATGCAGTCTGCATAATGTAAAAAGAATCCACGCAATGTAAAAAAAAAAAAAAAAAAAAAAAAATGTTTTTGACAGTGACAAAGCTAAATGTTAAACCCGCATTGGCTTTCATTTTACAAATAGAGTTGAATGGTTTTCACAACAAAGCTGAAAGGTAGCACTGCAATAAGACACTTCACATTTGATTCATTTTAATTCTTTGCAAATTCTCTTAATGATTAAAATTAGAAGTGTTCAAAGCCGGTTAACCGATTTTGTGAACCAAACTGGTTTTTCGGTTTATGAATTTTCCTAAACTAAAACCAAACTAGTTTTAATTAAATATTTTTATAATAAACCGATTTTTTTTATATTTTAATTTAATATTTTGATAATAAACCTGTTTATATAAATCAGCTCTCATATTCTCGTAAATCGATAATCGAACCGGAAAATCAATTTTTGTATTTCTTTGAACTAAAACCGCAGAAAAACAGGTTCAGTTTGGTTTCTGCTTTTTTTTTAACACCCCTAACTTAAACGAGCCTTTATGTGTTACAGAAATTTGAAACTCAACTTCATAGGATTATGATTTATACTAGGTTGTATCAAGTGTATATCAACTTCTGAGAAAATCCAGATAATTACAAAAGCTTTAACAAGTAAATAAGAAATAATCATCCATTCACAAAAAGGGCAAAAAATATATTGGTCTTCTGTCTTTTGTGGCACTGATTTTTTGTAGCTTTATATACATTAGCTGAAGGCAACGGGCTGTGAATGAGTGTCTACACTTCTTATCAGTTAGATTACAATGCAGATAATACTGAAAGTTTCTAAAACCAAACTCATTTATGGAGTCAGAAAATATATTCAAAATTGGGAAGGGCTCAATGTTGCTGTTTAATACACTCTTTTAAAAGATTATGAACATATTTGAGCTCTAAATTCCTTAAACATTGGCTAACAAAAACATCTTCATCTTCATTTTCATATTAACGTTTCAGCTGCATGATATACTGAAAGTTTCAGAATCAAGTATTTCATCTTGATGAGCTCAAAGACACAGATATCTCCTTGCTTCAAGTTCTCCTCTTTTAAAACTCTACACCATCCCTTTGTTAAAAGAAAACTTCTGCAAATCACCTGCCTGATTTGGACCTCACACATAACTCTTCCATCAGAAGCCTGTAGTTTAATCCATCTGACGTTTCTACCTAAATACTTGTCCACAAATTTCATTGGCACAATCTGCAAAAGCCAAAAATAATAACGAATGAGACGTTAATGATAATGTTGACGAGCAACGCTATGTTTACAACTAAGTCATATAACCAGATAAAAAACAAAGGTCAGAGTGGTTATTATACATAAATTTTATATAATTTTTGTCTGGTTGTATGACTTAACTGTAAGCAAAACACTATTGAATGTGGATATGAGAAGATTAAGGCAACATTTTATCTAATAACTTACCACACGGGGTTCGTTCATCTTATGAGATCGTAAAATAACCATGAAAGAAGGATTTCTTGGCTTCAACAATCTGGCGAAGTGGATTGCTCTCTGTCTGTCTTCTTTAGAGAGAAAGCTACATTTAATAGTAATGTAGATTCCCATTTCTTCAAGTAAAGCTAAAAAATTATGTGTATTCTCATAATCTGATTCATTTATCTCTGCCTTTTTAACCATTTTACACTTGTTTCCAGGCTTCAAATTTGAGTTGTCCGCATTGCATTCTGGGTTAGCTTCCATTGCATTATATGGATAGTAAATTTCGCAAGCAGTCGAATCGAAAATAAGAACCTGGAATGTTGAATTCTTCACATATTTGAAAACCAAGAAGTATCCAACAGAGATTGAATGATGTTGAATAAAGTCGTCCCAACCATCCTGAAACCAAATTTTCCTCCCATCTTTTGTCAGCCTCACCAGCCAAACCTGACCATTGGGAACTTCCAGCGTTGCAATATCAGCAAGTTCATTCCCAAACTTCTTTACAAACATTTCTGGAATCCCCTGTGATCATAAAAAAAGGGTCAATGACTGATGGACATTGACAATAATCTCAGTGCAGCAAAGAATAAAAAAAGAAGTTGTGAATTACCAGCTTCTTCTCTGCCAGGGTAGAGGGAAGGATAACCTTGAAGAAATGTGGCGATTTCTCCATCAAAGAATTCGATGTAACGGGTTCTACTTTCCTTCAAGCACAAGCCATTGTTTAAGTTACCAGAGATGAAGCTATGGTGGTTGTTAACACATAAGTTTAGGCATGAAAAAGTTGCATATACTTCGTTTCTGGTTGATTAATTATTATACCCTTCAGAAGTTGGACTTTTTTTGGGAGATGTTTGGACTTCCAATGAGTGATAATGCAACTCTCATTTCCAACTTCCAGGCACCAACTCTTACACAGTTTTTTGCTCCAATGTTTGAATCAAAGCTCATTCTATATGGAGTACAATTGGGTTAAATCGAGTCGAGTCGAGCATCTGGTAAAGAGAACTAGACTCGATCATACAATACCAAAGTTTGAGTTCGAGTTCAAGCTAGATCAAGCCTGAGAAATCAAGTTCGAACTCAAACTCGGTCTTGAATTGGAAAATCGAGTCGAGTTCGAGTAGCTCGCGAGCGGCTCGACTCGATTTTTACTCCTAAGTACGATAATACCGTATGTATTATTGCCACTTTTTGAGTAGAGTAAATTTTAAAAGAGAGTATCAAGCATGCAGCTGAATGTGCACAAGATATTAAATTTTTTGACTTCCAATAACCTTAATATGGAAGACCCCCAAAGGAGTCTAGCAACTAATATCAGCATGCAACTGAAAAATATGCTAAGGGTATTAAATCCTTAAATATTTTAAGGCATCTGAAAAAACTTTTAGTACTGAAGTCACAGAAACTTGCTAAGCAGCTCAAATGGAGTCTTTGCCATATTAAACAACATTCTCTGGAGGAATGGCAGAAACAATAGAATCCGCGATATCATATAACATGTGAACAGACAAAATTATGCCAAATTTCATGTATACTAAACTTTCTTAGCACCCAAATGATTGACTAGAAAATCATCAAAATAAAAACTGTGAGCTTTCATGCAGAGGACCGATCTTCCATGCAGAATAGAACAATAGATTAATTTAATCAAGACCAGCTCGTACATGTTTTAAGGACATAAAAAGCATCATTTGCTTATTTTCTCTTTCAAAGTTAGGTAGCTCTTCGCATGCAAATCACTGCATTACTTATATGTTATTGTTCGTAGCCAGAAACTTTCAGGAAATGAAAGTGCATGTATGTGTTCATGTAGCTAATTAAAAGAAAAAAAAAGGTCTTGTTTTTCTTATTTTAACCAAACATCTCAGCAGAGCAAGGAATAAGTTATGACTTACCAGTTTCTTGACTTCATGGGAGGAGAGTAGGTAACCTTGAAGAAATGTGAACAGGCAATGAGATTCACCTCTCTGCCAGACCAGAGCCATTTATGTAGTTAATTAGCATTTACAGATGACTGCATTACAGCTTTAGACTTTCTGCTTCTCAAACTCTGTTTCTGATGCTGTGATGCACTTTATTTTATTACAGTAATCAAGAAAAGATACTGACTGTATAACTTTAAATGCTATCAGCTGGACTTAATGCCATTCTGGAAGTTGAAAAGTTTAACATTAAGATACTGAAGACAATATTAAACTACCATAGGCAGCAAATATCCACTAATCCAAATTACAGGTTTTTTTTTTTTTTTTTTTTTTTTTTTTTGTGCCTGATATTTCGAGTTAATAATGTGGTTGTTGCAATTTAATTCCGCACCAAACTCATTTATTTGAAATGGGAAGGCTCAGTTCTAGTTCCAAGTTCCAACACCCTCCATTTAATGCCTAGTGTTTTTTTTAGAGCAAACAACTTTTCCCCAACCCAAGGTTTGTCTGAATGACCTTTTCACCCCAAAAGTTTCAAAATACTACTTTCCTACTTGAATATTATATTTCGTTAATACTCAAAGCCAATTCTCGTGACAAAAATTTTCTTCATTACCATCATTTAAACCTCCGATCTTTTCTATGTAAAACTCTCTTACTCCGACACCTGATTTCTCGTTGATTACAGGCTGTCACAAATTTAGGGTTTCTTAGTCTTAGATGATTTTTAGCTGATTCTGACGGTGAATATTCAATCGGTCAGTATCATTCGATCCATCGACCTCCACTTTACAAAAATCCTCTTACCTTGGCTCTTGGAAACTTGTCGAATGCCGGCTGAATAAGTGAAGTGTATTTTGGGAATCAATAGAATATAAAATTTGGGTGAAAAAGTGGTATTTTGAAACTTTTTGGATTAGAAAGGCTTTTAAGGAAAACCTTGGGTAGGAAAAAGTGAGTTTGAAATGGGAAGACTCAGTAGTTCCAAGTTCCAACGCCCTTCATTTAATGCCTAGTTTTTAGAAACCACGCATTGTTCACTTAGTATTTCGCCATAAATTGAAATCAACAAACTTCTCAATGCTGTTATTTAATAAGGCCTTAGTCAAAGAGGAGAAGCTATGTTATATATATAAAAAGTTGAATACTTAGGTAGGTTGTTCATCAAGTAACACATTTTGGAAGCTTTAGAATTGTTCTATTTTAACACATTGGATTGATAAACCAATCAAATTATCATAAATTTAGTCATTTTTCGGTCATGAATTTGTGATCATGGCCACTTTTGGTTTTGTCGGTGCACAGTCGACTATATATGGCCAGTCGTGTGCCATTTTGTCGACTATCGGTGGTGGCTGACAGTGGCTTAAGGTGGGTGACGGTGATTTTGTTACAAATTAAAGTTTTATATGATTTGGTTATTTTAGCAAAATTTTAAATGTAGGGGGTTGAAAGAAATTCGTAATGTTATATATATAAAGCTGAATACCCATGCAGGTTGTTTGTCATGTGACACATTTTGGAAGCTCTAAAATTGCTCTATTTTGACACATTGGATTGACAAGCCAATCAAATTGCTATAAAGTTGAATACCCATGTAGGTTGTTCGCCATGTGACACATTTTGGAAGCTCTAAAATTGCTCTATTTTGACACATTGGATTGACAAGCCAATCAAATTGCTTTATCTTGATACATTGGATTCGTATTTATTGCTTTATCTATAATTATTATTTATTAGTTAATTTAAAAAATAGAATATGTATTAATAATTAGTAATAATAATAATATAATAATATAGGTACATTGCATTAGCATTCTAAAGGTCTAACCATAATGACACTTGTATTTTTTATTATCATGTGGTTGAATTTTATTGGTAATGATATAGACAATATTAATTGCTACATTGATATTCCAAAGTCTAAATAATTAGACATACAAATTGGATTACATAGGTGCATCGCATTGATTGTATTAATAATTAATAATAATATTAATTATATATGTGCATTACATTGACATTTTAAAGGTCTAACCATAATGACATCTTGGATTTGTGATTGTCATGTGGTTGAATTTTATTGGTGATGATGTAGACAATATTAATTGCTACATTAGTATTCCAAGGTCTAAATAAATAGACATAAAGATTGGATTAGATAGATACATTGCATTGGTAGTAAAAACATACCTATTTATTAATAATTATATAGGTGCATTGTATTGATATTGCAAACATTTCTTCGTATTCAATTCATATTTAATTGTGTTGCATTCAAAATGTTTAAATATGGGGTTATAAAAGGGGCGTATGTTTAGTTATGTATTATCGCAATATGTTAGTTGGTGTCAACAATACGTCTGGTCTTTTGTTAATTGTTTATAGGTTATGTTAGTTTGTGTCAATAATACATCTGTTCTTTATGATTTTGTTAATCGATGACTTTTTATTTATTTATATTTTTGTTGTTGTTTACAGGTCAAAGATTCATGAATTGACATGGAATAAAGGAAGGATGTCCGATTGACAATGACAAATGAATTGTTATTTTGATTTGTTCTTCTAAACTGTAAGTATATCTTCTAACTATTTTAATACGAAATTGTAAGCAGAATTTGATTAGCTATCAATGAAATGAGGTTATCAGTGCGATTATTTGATGTCCTTTTTTTATCAATAATGCTACAGACACCGACACTTTGTACCAAAATATTAAACCGAACGACGTGTCACCTGAGTCAGACGAGCCACGTAGCATGTTAAGAAATATTTCGCAAATGAACGGTCCATTTTTATTGGACGGCCATTCATTTGAAATGGACAAGCGTCCTTACTTATTGGACGGGAGTCCACCTATAAGGACGCCCGTTCATAGTTTAAATTAAAAAAATTTGATAACAAAAATCATAGACGCTCATCCATATATTATAGACGAGCATCCCTGTTTAATGGACGGGCGTTCCTATTTTATAGACGCCCATTCATTGTTTAAATTAAAAAAAAAAAAAAAAAGCAATGGATGCCTGTCCATTAAATAGGGACTCTGCTCTACAATAGAATCTCCTATTTCCCACAGTGTTCCTTCTATTTTCTTCTTCTAAACTCCTATTGCTATTTACTTTCAAACACAAACACTAAGTAAATAGAAGTTCATCACGTGAACTACATACATCAATACAGTCAAAGGGTCCACCATCTGCAATAAAAAATAAAGTAAAGAAACAGATGTCATGCATACATCAATGCAGTCAAGGGGTCCACCATCTAAAATAAAAAATAAAGTAAAGAAACAGGTGCCATGAATGTTCACAGACTTTGGCTAAAAGAATCGGATTGCTCTGTTTTCAAATTTTTTTAATTGAAACAATGGACAAACTTCCATCTAATAGGGACATTTGTCCATTAAGTAGGGATGCCCGTCTATAATATATGGACGGGTGTCCATGATTTTTTATTAAATTTTTTTAATTTAAACTATGGACGAGCGTCCTTATAATGGACGATTGTCCAATAAAAATGGACGATTGTCCATATTTGATGGACGGCCTTTCATTCGCGAAATATTACTTAACCTGTTATGGTGCTTGTTTGGCTCAGGTGATACATCGTTCAGTTTAACATTTCGGTACAAAATGTCAGTGTCCGTAGCATTATTCCAAAGTAAATAGTTGTAGAAACTCCATAATATTGCAATTCAACAAGATCCTATTTCAAACTAACTTGTACCCAACCCAACCCTTGACAACAGTTACCTACAGAAAAATTCTAAATATTTTTCAACATTTCATAACACATCTTGTTCTTGAAAGCATAATATTTATATAAAACATTAGCAGAGTTTGATGTGGAAACTTAGACAAAACTATAGCCCCCTACTTCACTGGTCAGCCTGATTTGGTTCTTGGTTGGTGGGTTGGCTCTGTGACCATCACCTCGTTTAATATGCACCAAAATTTTATTCTTTGTCCCACCTGCTTCCAGAAATTCACATATGCAAAGATCATCTTTTTCCACATCGTTCCACTAGCAGACTGAGCCCCGTCCTGTAATCCAGGTTGAACCATCCTTCCAGCGCATAACCTTTTCCAGACCATTCCCTCTCCAGCTCATCATGAAAGGTTACATGTTCAGCTAATTTAATTCTAAAATCTCTCAAGACATAAGATGGAACCAACTGCAATATTGAATAGAAAACTCTACCATTAGCAACTATATATATTGTTTAATAAGCAAAATAACAATCATGGCTTGACCCCATAAATTCAAGCCAAATGAAGTCATTTACATGGGGTTTCTAAATGGTGCAAGAAATCATTATAATGCCAGCAACTTTTCTTATTATGAATTAAAACAAATGAGAATTCAGCCCCCATGTCAAGCAGAGAGTACCATAAATCCTAACAAATTGACAGAATTAGCATTTCACATATTAGTTTAACTGATAAAAAATGAAAATAACGGCTAATGCAAATCTCACCATCACTTATTGACTATACTAAGCAAGATCAGGTATTTTAGTAATAGATGATTTTAGCTTGTTACCAGTAGGCTTTTCCTAGTTTTTTTTAGCTTTGACACAAAATAGGGATTTTGACGATGAACATATTTTCTTACTTCCTTTCTAGTCAATGTTAGACTATCAGAAGCTTCAGCAGAAAATCCAGGAGCCCTTGTACTATCAGAAGCTTTAGCAGAAAATCCAGGAGCATCTGCACCAAATCCTCACTCCATCCATTCTGTTACTAATTCAAAATGATCCACTGTTAGCGTAACTTTCTCCTACAAATGTGTATTTGATTGTTTCCTCATTTTGATTAGGTTTGTTTCCTTATTATACGCTTGATAGCTCAACTGTACATATATAAATATAATGGAAAACTACACGGCTTGAGTGTGGAAGCCAAGCCAAAGATATCTCAGCCTCCTGTTGAATTATTAAGATTTTACATGGTATCAACCTAACATCCTATCAGCTCACGCTTTTCAAATAATCCTTTCTTCAGCTTCCGCATCATCCAAATTGCCACCAACAACGACACCCCCATCACTGAACCTATCTTACCACCATCTACCACCACTAT